CAGCTTTTTGGCCTATTTTTTCAGACTAATGGCCTGATGCGCAAAATTGTTTGTCAATATTGTCTTTATAGTGTTCAGGGAGAGCTTGGAAAATCAGTTTGATCAACCTAAAAAACAAGTTTTTTTTAAAAAAAACTCCGTCCCCCTTTGAAATTAAGATGCGATTTTTATATAGTTCTCCCCGTCAAAATTAGTATATAATGAAGCCGAAAGCACCTTTAGAAAAGTTCGAGTGTAGGTCTGTCAATATTGGATGTCCTAAAACAGTACCAAGAAGGAAACCCCCTAAATCTGCCCCTGATAAGATAAAATCAATTTAAGTAGCAATTATAAGGAGATTATAGAAAAATTAGCTTGATTTTACTTTCAATTATGAAAAAATGTATCCTCAAAATTTTTAGGCATGATACTGGAGGTTTGCATGCAATGATAAACCAGTATTTGTTTATAAAGTTTAGTTGTAGGATATAGTGAATAGCATAAAATGTGATCGATCTGCTATAAGTTTAAAAAGAACACAGTTTTTCAGAAGGTGAAAAACAACAGCTCGGCACAGAAAATTTTCTCTTTTTTTTCAATATTAATGTCAGCAATTTGATTTTGAGTACTGATATTTTTCTAAACCTTGTTACTGAGGTTTCCAATTAAAAAGTTTTTTAATAGAAAATTTGGCAATTATGAAAAAAGTTATTATGCAAATTGAAACAAACAACCCGTGAAAGGAAACCCAAAAATGTTCTCGATTTTTGGGTTTCCCAAAAATGTTGTCGATAAGATTCCATGTTATTTTTTGGAATCTTTAAAAAAAATTTCAAAATATTATTTTCTAAAGAAAGTTTCAAGAAACCTTTAATGCAAAATTGTTTTTTAAAACGAGCCAAATTAAAGAAAAATGAATCAAAAATGAATTTTCTGATTCAACTGGATCAAACAACTGGAAAATTTCTTCTGATTTTATTGGAAAAATCAGTTGAAATTCAATTTTGAATCGATAAAAGATTCACAATTTTTTGCGCACATTTGTAATTGGAGAGTGATTTTTGCCTTCAAACTTTGCAAACGAATATTAGCTGCATTTAAGAATGAAATCAAAGTGTGCGTGATTCAATTTAAAATTTTTTTTTTCTATCAACAAAACGGCCTAATTGGGTGTTTTTACTTTTTTCATTAGAAGAGCACTCTGAAATGAAAATTGTTTTTCTTTTTTCAAGAATCAGGCGCGGATCTGGGATTTTCTCGAGAGAAGATTGGACTTTCGAACAAAATTTCAAAATTTTGTCGAGCCTTTTGTGGTGTGATCCAATTGATTTTTCGAGCGCTCCCAAAACACTATTTGAAATAATTTTTTTTCGTCTTTTTTTGAAAACTTTGGCCCAATAATCGCTCGGCAGGTGCTCTTGTCTCAAATCTAGAAACAATTAATACTGAAGGCGTATTATGAAAACTTTAGGGTGAGTCTGAGTCAGACAAAAATGGATATTTCAAAATCCCCTTGCCCCTAAATCCGCTACTGTTAATAATAATGATTGACATTGAGTTTAAGAAATTATTAGAATAAAAACAACAAAATGGAGTGAATTCTGCTTCATTGGTGAACTCTCAGTCTTAAAATGATCTAAAAAAAATGAATTGTGCCGCTTATTTAGAAAATTTTTACGCTGAGCAAATATAACCAATTTTAATTCCATACAATTTTTTTTTGAGCTTTAGATAAAAATTTAACGAAAATGACCTCAGGGTGGCAGTTAAGATTTCGTCAGCTTACGTAAGTGTAGGTCAGAAAAAATTTTTTGAGAATCAGAATTTGTAATCTGACAACTAAAAAAAGTTTTCTGAAGTATTTTAATTTTAATTAGTGTGCAACCATTTGAAAAATGAGGAGAAACTTTGTATTCGGTTGTCTTGTATTTTTTCTTTTTTTTTAAAATTTTTACGCTAAATCAGCTACCACCTTAAATTATTTGAATGATTCGAGTACGATATCGTACCACAGCCCTTTCAGTCAAGAATCAGCATGAAGAAAAACTCGTTAAAATGTTCTATTTTTATTTCAACTTTGAGCGAATAAAGATAGCGAGCCGGCTTACAACCGCTTTTTATGCCTAACTTAAGCTCCAAAAACTTACTTTCAAATAACTAAAGCTAAATTGTGCAGGTTTCAGCGCAATAGTTGCAACCAAAAGCTTCCAAAAGATCAAAAAAATTCTGCAAAAACAATTGAAAAAAAATTGAACTTTTTCAAATTTTTGTTTTGTTTTTTGTTTGGCCAAGTTTCCGCAGAAGTTTTTGCCAATTTGGGTTACATTACGACTATAAAATATGCCTAACTGATAATTCTGAGTCAGATCCTTTTATCATACCACGAAAATTAAGAGAGATCAACCATTCATCATTTCCAGAAATAGATCGAGGTTTTCAAAAAGACTTCTTTTCATTTTCAATTTTTTTCAAGTGAGGTGGAACATGAGACTGAATGGCAAACTCTTCGTTGTCTTATTTTTGACACTGATATCCAATTGCAACTGAAAGACTTAAAAATATGATACCACTATTGATCTGATTACCTTCCTTTGAGGTACCAAAAAATACACACAAAACCTTAATTATAGTTCTTTCTTACCTTTTCAAGTTTTGTCAAAATGACAAAACTTCTAAAACGCTAGTTTACGACGTTTCACAGTCAAACTATACTGTAAAATAAAACTGTGAAATGGATAAATTTCCAAAAAGGTCATTTTCGCTGTTTAAAAACAAATGTTCCTGGTTTTAATTATACTGTAATGATTATGGGGGAACTCTGGACCTCCTGCAATGATATATATTTTTTCAAATGTAGCTGATGTTGGGTTAAAATATTGGTGTTTCATTATTGCAACAAGATGGTAGTTTTGTATTTTCAGCTTGAGACCAAATAGATCGGAAATTTTTTCGAAGTGAAATAGAACAAATCGATAGAATGATAATCACGGTTGCTATGCTATAAATCGAAGCTATACTACCAAGTAGTCTCAGCCGTGACACTCGTGTTTTGGACAGTTTAAAGAAGTATATAATTCAAAATTTGTAGTTCTTTTCACCAAGTTTGGGCGCTTGTTCGAAATGACAAAAATTAAAAAAAAATAAAATGGGCGCAAAAAAAGATAACAACTCAAATTAATAATGGAAATTAAAATTTGGAGATCTTAATTTCATCTAAATTGTCTCGCAGTCGACTAAAAATAAGAAGTTACTAGTACTGAATGAATAAATAGTTCAAGAGATATTCTTTTAATTCCTTTAACCAGAAGAAACAGCCAGACTTCAGTCCGGAAGAACACGAGTGACTACAGCTCTTCTAGAAAAGCCCAAATATGTGTTATTTATTTAACCCTATTGATTTTGCTGCCAAAATCGCAATTATTTTAACGTTGAATTAGTTTCCTTGCACAGGATGATGCAAGATTTTAGACACCCTTTATAAGGTTTATTCAAATTATATGGTTCGTTGAGGCAGAAGAAATGAATTCAGGTTGTTGACCTTTCGGATTGATGAACCTTCGACAGTCTAAACCGGTGGACGGACAAGTTTTGACTGGATGCATTAAAGGGAGAAAGCAAAATCAGAGATAATTCAAGTTCAGTCTGCGATTTTCTAATCCAGGATTTCAAATTGAAGCTAAAGTTGATATTGATTGATTTATTTTCATCCGGAACACAAGGCGAGCATTTTAGAGTAAATCTTCGGATTAAAAAGTTGCTGAAATAGTCGAGGAAAGTTATGAATGCAGCTACTGTGTTGCGTGATTTATGTGGGCTATTTATAATATTAAACGCGGTTACAAGTATTTATTTACTGGGCAAATATGTTTGGGATGTTTTACACCGATAGTAGCTCTACGCTTCTGGTAATTTAATGATAATTTAATAAATTTAAATGAGAAACACGTTTCTGAATATTTGAAAAAATAGATCGAAGTAACTTCTTCATGTTGTTTAGGCCCAACAATTGAACTGGTTTGTGCATTTTTCAAAATTTACCACTTATTTAAGGAAAACATAGAAGGTCCAAAAAAGCTGAATTTCTAATATAGACTCCTACCTTGAATCTCGATGATGAAGTTTTTGAGCCGAAAACAAGACTCAATTTCCAACATCATATGTCTACTTTGAAATTTCTTGACGATATTTGAGCAAGCATATGATGTCCTATTAATTTGCTTGCTTCAGAATTTTGATCAAAGAATAAAACAATGATATAATTTGATTGAAGATTATTTCCGTTGAAGTTCCAGAGAGATTGTTCCTTCTGGCATTTTTTCTAACTATCATAGCAGTCAAAATCGGAGCTCATTCTTCAATTGGAAGATTCATATAATTTTAGTAGTATGAGCTTGTACAGCAGAAAACGCTGAGGGGGGGGGGGGGGGGGGGTAGCAGGGCACCGGTAGGAGCAAAGAGCAAAGTTGGGAAAATTGATTTTAAAATAACAAATTTATCAAAAATAAGCTCTTATCTGAGCCAAGCCCCCCCCCCCCCCCCCTCCCACCCATAAACGTTACTGCAGTCTAAACACATATTTCTACTGTTTTAACGACTGAAACCAAATCAGGAAAGCACCAAGGTTCCAGTTTGAGAAATTGTCTCCGTTAAAAACGAATTGACAAGTGATAGCATCTAGCTTCAATAGCACCAACACAAATACAGTAACAGAATTGGTCAAAGATTGAAAATAAAGCTCATTCATTGTCATAAATATTATCGAGGTGACCCCAAACAAAATCAGAGAGCCAGGAAGGATATCGGTTTCCCGTTTCTATGTATTGCCAAAAGACGATCGTGTAATCTCAAATTCTATCATTAAACTTTATCTAATTAGAAGACAGCAAAATTTATTTTCTTCCCTGATTACAGTCTTCTTTCTCTCCTGATTACAATGGGCGGGGGCGGGGAGGGGGTTGAAAATTGTGAAATGAATCAGATCAATTGATATCACTAACTATTATACAAGTTGTACTACTCACAGTGGTATCTGGTGTACACTACTCGACTCTTGCTCTCTCCCTCCACGTTCTTGGCGGTGCAGTGCCACGCCAGCACACTCTTCCAGATGCCGATGTGATTGACAGTCATGTTCTGCTGCACTGAGGCTCCACTGCTGCTCTGTCTGATGGACACGTCTAGCACCTCGATGTTGTTGAAGGTCTTGGCGAACACGGGAATCAGAGTGCCCTCCAGGTAGAAGTTGAGAGAGGGACCTGGACGTTCACAAAAATCAATCGAGCAATGTCAAAATTTAATTTAAATTTCTTGTTCATAGATGCTTTCTTCAATTGACTTTATAAGAGACCTCGAAAAGAAAAGGAGCTAGAAAATTTGAAAAACAAACTTTCAAGAGTAATTGAAAAGATTCAATTATCTCTTTTTTTTCTCCATTTTGCCATTGTTTTTCGTTCAAGACAAAAACTGAGAAGAACATAGAAAAATCAAAAAATACTTGATAACCAAATTTTAGTATTCAAGATTTTGTTTTTAAATTTTAGATTTCTAAAGATACGTTGCAAAGATTTTTAGAGCGAATTCAACTGCATGAAGAATCATCAAAAAGGAACAATAATCGAGTAATGTGAACATAAGTTTTAGTTGTAAAATTGTGCATGTTGGGTGGAAAAAGAAAAAAGCCAATTATTTTTTATTCTTCTTCGATGTATATTAACATTTTTGGATACTTTTTACCGAGGTTTTTGTATCCGTGTTTCGATACACTGATTATTAAAACACTAAAGTTTTTAAAGTTCTTGATTTGATTACAAAAATAGCACGCAATTGATGTAAAAATAATCAAAAAAATTCCAGACTGAAAAGTTCTTACATTGGAACAGTTTTTGATTTAATGAGCTTGGTCCTACAACCACTATAAAGAGTGTTCCTCAGCACACGCTTTTTTGAAGCACAGCAAAAACATCATAACTCCCTATATCAAAATGATAAAAATCTGAAGTTTTGCATTTTTAGAGCTTCCAAGAACTGTAACTTCATTTTAAAAAATTATCCCGCGTTTTGCATTTTTGACAGGTACAGAAAAACTTTACATAGAGCAGGTAAAATATTTTCTAATACTTGTAATAAGGTTTTAATTGAAACTCGTAAGGTATTGTTTTTTCATAATGGCAGAGAAAAAAACTAGAAAAAAATAACAAAAAGGTTAAATTTTGCCAGGGAATTGCTCAGATTAAAAAAAAGCAAGTTAACTTGTTCAATTGAGTACAAACCAATTTTTTCTTGAAAGAATCTAAAAAGACCATTAAAAACTGAAAAAATGCTAAAAAATTTACACTAAAAATATTCCTCTTATTGTGCTAGTGTTTTCTCTGTCCAAACTAAGTTATAGATGTATTTTTGACAAAAACTGCTATTAAACAATCTGTTACACCCAAGTGCAAGTCATAGCATCATTTTGGAAAAATGCCTCAAAACACCATTTTGGAAAAGCAAGAAACCTTCACTCTCTGGTGCAAGTCATGACATCTTTAAAAAAAAAAAACGCATTACCATGCAAAGCCTTACATTTCGTCGCCTTCAGAAAACCTCCAGAAATTTTGAAAAACCACCAGAAATTCTCACGGACCAGTTTTGAGATCCACACAAAAAATCAGATACAAAACAATTGCTGCAGATGTTTCTCAGAGCCGTTCGTTTAGCAATCTAATTTCCATCAATAGCAAAACTTTTACTTATTTTTTTATTTTCTGGAAAAAAAACGATTCCTTTTAAAAACTTCTAGCAGGAAATAAATTATTGGAGCTCCCTTAGTTTTGTAAAAAAAAGATTTCAGCATTATAATGCATTTTTTCTGCTTCAGTTGCTTCTGCAAGCTTTAGGTTATTCAAACCAAAATCATGCAAAAGTTCAATCATACTCTGATCAAAAAAATTATAGTTTAAAATATTTTACGTCTTGTTGTGCACAAAAATGCTCGTAAATTATGCGTAAAATCTCAGCAAAAAATATTCTGACTTTCGGAGATAGCAATGCAGTGTAAAAATGCTATTATCAACGCCTAAAACACTGGTGAGTTCAGGTACGCAATGATTCATTCGCAATATTCAAAGCCTAAGCGAGATCGAAGAAACATACTTTTCAACACAACTTTCAAAATTATCAAGAACATTTATCTATTTTTATATAAAACTTTTTAAGTCACTGATTTAGATTTGGATGTTTTAAAATTCAGGTAGACTGGTTTTAAATGCTTTTAATAAATTATTTATAACTGAAAATACTGGAGGCGATTTTAAATTGTCATTATATTAATTTAATTGTTTTTTGAATGTTAACATAACAATTACACTTTTGTAATTGAAAGAGTCAATTGATCTTTGCTTTTCAAACGAATTGTAAATACTGATGCAATAATTCGACCAGTTTTTTAAATTTTGCGCATTGAAACCTTGGTTTTTTAAATTAGCAAATTTTTAGCCCAAAAAAATGATGGAGTAAAAAGTTTCCTTCCGATTGTTAAGCTTACCTGGCCGCACAAACTTCTGGTTCCACAAATTTTTTTATGAGCGCTAACTGATGGAAAATCATATTTTCGATATCTCTAGCAAACGCAACACAAAATCAAATAATGTAGGAATTATTTGCTTCTAGTGAAGGTTTTTATTTTTTGTTTTTTATCTTTAAATTGTAAAATATTTGAGCACAATTGATGCTCTGCTAATGCTTTGTGAATGATAATTTGGAAGAGCGAAGCAAAAGCAAAAAAATATAGCCAGAATAAGAATTTCTCAAAATGCTAAAATGTAACAAACTATCTTCTCAAGTTTGTATGAGTCATTTTCCAGCCTTATGTCTGTGTAGACAAACTTGCATCTCTGCAAAATGAAAAAAAGTCAACATAAAACTAACTCAAGTTGTTATTATATTCTCAATTTATTTGATGTGATTGAAATTGATTTTTTAATTTAACTGAACATATTAATCCTTATTGAGTGTCATAGGCTGACTTATCAGTGTATACTGTTTAAAACTGAGAACTGTGAAAATTAGCAGGGTTATCTTAAAGTTTGATCGGACAACTTAATGATATTGAACTTTTTAGGAGGAACTTTTTTGAAACATCGTTTTACGACGCAAAATCAACTATTAGTAATAGTCGCCAACAATGTCAATCGATGTACTATAATAAAAAAAATTCAATTTCGATCGAAACAAATAAACAAAGCTTTTGCCGGTGTTTAATCAAACCCGTTTAAAACATTTGTTTTAGACAAATTTAGAATTTTAATGTGAGATAATCTGAATTATAAAAGAGAGCATGGGCGGATCAAGGATTTTCTCGAGAAAGGGGCGTTTTTCACGACCAAAGTAGTTTAAAATTATTTGAAAATGTTAATTTGGTCAGCCAAAAATTCATGTTTTAAAATAGTATTGAAGGGGGATTTTTTGTTGAATCCCTGGGAAATAACCATCCCCCTTCCCCTAAAACCACTAGAGCATTAGAGCTAATTACTCGAATTTTTTTGACAACAAATTAGAAAGGAAATTGGTTTTGAGATATATAATTTTTCATTTTTTAAACGGAAAATGAAGTACTTCTAAACTAAGCCAGTCGAAGATTGGAAAAGAGTAATGAAAGCAAGTTACATAAAAAACACTGAATTTGCTTAAAAAAATCTCAACTTTCGAATTTCAAAGCAAAAATAGATGCCGCCCTCTAAGTTCTTTGAAGTTCTAGAACGATTTATGATTGGCGCTTTTTGATAACATTAACCCAACTTGAAAAAACTAGATCAACAGGTAAAGTTATTATTCCGCTGGAAGTCTAAAAATTAAATTCCACTTTCGAAACTAGAAATTGTTCACGTTTTTTTGCGCTATTTCCACGTGCTATTTACGTCACTTTGGGCAGATGAATTTCAATGAAACTCAAAAAGTGCATATATACCTCAGGGCATTTATAAATTCATCAGGGCATTCATAAATGCATCTGTAGTTATTAGAGCATTTTAACACTTGTTCCTTAAAAAAAATTAGCAAGTCCTATAAAAAGTTTTCGTTAAGTTCTCTACTTTTAATAGTCATTAAATAAGATCAAATCAGCATTTTAGTCATTTTTTTGATCCCAGGTTGACCATGCTACAATAAAAATCCCCTATCTTAAATCTTTTATAAAATTTGTAGAAAACTTCCTCTTATTTGCAATTTTTAGCAGGAAAACTCAAAAATGGCAATTGTTTCCCAAAAAACAAGGAAATTTTAGAAAAAAGATAAAAAATAATGCAAAAACCAATCTGAAAATGTTTCTATACCGTAATTACTGATGAAATTTAATGTTACACTTTCATGATTTTTTAAGTCTTCGTTAAAATGTTTAAATATGTTTATAAAATATGCGTTTTTGAACAAAATTTTCACAAAAAAACTCATTACGAGGCCAAATTTTATTGCAGTGAAAGACTTGACTCTATTTCCCGACTTTTTTTCTATCAGCTTTGTCTTTTTTTGGTGCATGCTTTTTTTTGAGGGCACAACATTTCTTGCCAATTCATGATTGTTACAGAAAATATCTTGCCTTCTGAGTAATCTCTGAATATTTTTCTTGAAGTTATTTTTAGGATATAGCCTGTTTTGCAGCACTTGGCTGTTTTGTATTTTCTTTATTTTTGCGGGAAAAAAAGATTTTCAGAAAATCGAATTATTTCTAAAAACATATATAGCACTACTCACTTGGGAACCCGTTGCTGCTGCATTGGAATGTCACTGACTGGCCCTGATATACACTCAACTCCCTCCCACTCCCTGAAGATGAAGAAGCGAAGGAGGAGGAGGAGTTACTCGTCCGTCCCGAACTGGATTCGATCACGCGCATTCTCACGTCATTTGGCCGGTAGTGATCTAGACAAAATTGACGAAGATTATTAACCACAAATGAAAGTCAATTATTTTGTTTTATTTGGACGAGTAGCATTTTTCGAAAGAAAAGAATAAGATGTTTTTAAAGACACGAGTGCTGATGACTGACGTCCTTTCATGTGCTTTGAAGTGCCTCTCAAAACTAATTATTCGACCTTAACACATTGTGTACTTAAGTGGTCTCATGCGAACCTCTATTGGATCAACAATTTATGTTTTCGAGTTGACATGGCCGAGAAAAAAAACGACATTTCCTGTGGTTTCTGGTCACGTCGCATAATAAATATACATTTTTGACCAAAAAGAGCAAAGCTTTTGGTCATTCTGCTCAAAATAGTAGATGAAAACAAAAAACAAAATAGGGAACTTGATATAGACCATAATCATATAACCATAAACTATATTATATGCTTCAATGATTTATCATAATTTCCTCATGTCTATTAACATTTCTTCAACAAGAACCAAAAAATCTGAAATTTCAGACTTTTAAACTCTAATGATTTCAAAAGAACTAAACTAAATCAGATGTCAATACAATTAGCGGGAGAAAAAACGAAGATATGGTAATATTAAGCTGGAATAATTTTATTTAAAGCATGAATTTAAACAGAGCTTGTTTAACCAGAATAATTGATAAAACAGAATTCAGAAAAAATATATAGTACAACAAAACTGCTCATATCAGAGCGAAGCCCTGAATGTTCCGACTGCTTTTAAGGTTTATGAAGAAGTAATTACATAAACAACATAAAAAAATTAAATGAAAAAAAATAAAATGAAACTTTTTTTCTTCTAAAAGTTGAAATTTTCGCTATTAAAATTACCCCCCCCCACACGCCACATAAACTACAAAAGGATATATTTCGCTCCTATTATCAAATCACTTATGGCAAGCAAGCTTCTTTCAAGCAATTTGGAACAATTTCTAAGACGGTTTAAATCTCCGCTTACGCGTTAATAGCGCGAGTTATATCGCGTGTTAATTGTCCCAAATGGCCGAAATGGCCAAAATGGCAATTTTTAAACCTCCATAACTTTAAGTACGAAAAATAATCACAAGTGAATTATCTTTTCAGATTTAAGCTCAGGACAACAATACCTTTTGAATGATATTAAAAAATCCGTCAAAAATGGTTAGTTTAAAAATTTGTCTGAAGAACAAAAACACACCCACCCCGAGCACAAATATTCCGTTACTTTCGTATCGAAAGTCGGAACAAAAATCAATTTAGATCCATGATAATAAACAGAACAAGTTTAAGCAGAATAATTGTTGAATACTAATCCAGAAAATATTGAGAAAAAAGTGAATTAGGAAAAGTGAAAAACCTTTATTGAAAAACATCCCTGCTTCAACTAAAGTTGCAATATTTTAAAGATATAGCCAAAAAAAAACTATATAATTAGAAACCAAAAAATAATTTATCTTTTATTTTCTTAACATCTGAGTTTTGAGTTTCCAAATTCATTAAATTGTCTTAGAGATCTTCAAAAAACAAGCAATTCGTCGAACTTTTTATGATCTTTTTATGAAATGAACAAAATCTGAGAAAAACTTTTATATGGAACATATTTTTTTATTCCTCTTGGTAAACTAAAATTTAAATTTCGCTTAAGAAATTAAAATTGTAACACCATTTAAAAAAAAAAATTTTTCCTTGAAAGTGGCAAATTAGTCTTTTTTTTTGGACCAATGAATTAGAATCCCAAATTTGGGAACAAATCAACAAACATCAAACAATGAAATAGTTCTAAAAATTTGAATCGGACATGCACTAACTTCAATACTTATTCCTGAAAAACAAAAAAAACTGAAAGAACAGGACAAGATACAATCGAATTAATCATAAGCTCACTTTTCTGACAAGGAAAAGACAAACTATGAAAAAAAGTGTAATTTTGAAAAATTACAACATTTATGGTACGTTTCAGCTATTTTGATTTTTTAAAATCACCTAAAAACAGTTTTTGGCCAAAGTCTTTGTGTCAGAAGCATTTTTAAAATAAAAATAGTGCTATAATGCTCCTCCTCTTTAAATACGCTAAATTGTACACCTCCTCTTTAAATTTAGCGTATTTCAGCATTTAACATACCATCGGACAAACTTCGTTATGAAAAAAGTGGCTAGAAATATTGCTCTAGAAAATTGGCTAGACACAGACAAAACTATAGACTTAGCACTGAATTATTACAATTTTTAAGAGTCAAACTGAATTGGAGTGCTAGTTGAAGGTCTTAAAATGTTGGGAAAACTGTTCAAAAAAACTGAGTAACTGAAATTTTGGAATATCGTTCAGCAAAAAACTTTTTTGTCAGAGAATTTACTGTCATTCCAAAATGTTTTGTTTGTCATTCCATAACAAGTTTTGTTTGAATAAAATGAAAACACTGTAAAACGAGCCCAAAACACAGAAAACAAAAATCCCAACCCGATTTCTCATGACAAAATCAAAACAAAAAGTCCCTTTCAAAAATTTAGTGTTAAATATTTCACTATACATAACAAAAACGGCGTAAGAACAATTTTAAATTTTGTTAACTTTTTTGCAAAGTTTTCTTGATGAAAAAGAATAAAAAAAAACAGGTCTTGTCCTGTTGATAGAACGTTGTTCTGTTTTTCGAAAAAAAAAACAACCAATTAATTCTGCTCGGTTTAGTTTTTTTTTTCATCTGACATGTTTTTTTTTTAAATTTTAACTTGCCATTTTGAGGTATTGATGTATTGAACTCTCAAATTTCAAAAAAAAAATCTACCCGTAATTGCTTTATGTAACGATATAGGGATAAAAAAAGTTGTCTAGTTTGCCAATTTAGGATAATTAATGCATTATATTTCGGGCTACTGACAACTAAGCACGTAACGGCGTAAACGTTAATAACGATGGATAATCATTCAATATTGATTTGAGTTATTGTTCCGACTTTCGATACAAAAGTAACGGAATATTTGTGCTCGGGGTGGGTTTTTTTTTCTTCAGACAAATTTCGACTTTTTAACTAGCCATTTTTGACGGAATTGTTTTATATCAATCAAAAGGTATTGTTGTCCTGAGCTTAAATTTGAAAACATATTTCACCTGTGATCATTTTTCGTAGAGTTATGAGGGTTTAAAGATTGCCATTTTGGCCATTTTGACCAATTTGGGACAATTAACGCACGATATATTAACGCGTAAGCGGAGATTTAATCCGTCTTATAAATCGTTCCAAACTGGTTGAAAGAAGCTTATTTGCCAGAATTGATTTGTTACAAGGAGCTAAATCTATATTTTTGTACTTTATATGGCGTGTGGGGGATGATTTTCACGAAAAATTTCAAATTTTAGAAAAAATTTTCATTTTATTTTATTTCATTTAATTTTTTTATGCTTTTACCTCTGCTCCATAAACTTTAAAAGGCAGTCGGAACATTCAGGGCTTCGCTCTGATACGAGCAGTCTTGTTTGACTTTAAGATGACGTTAGAAGCCACTAAACAAATCTTTTCGCAGTTTGAATAGTGCGTTGGGTTAAAAATCTAGTTTTTGCAGTTTGAAACAATCTGAAAAAGTTGAAAATGTTTTCATTCCTTCTTTTCACGAAATAGGGGGCAGTTGAAGGGTAGTCGAAACGTTCAAAGTTTTTCCCTAATACGAGCAGTTTTTTAGTGATTGCGCTCCAGAAAAACTTCGCAAAAAAACACTTAGTTGAAGAAAAAACGCCGTCCATCAAACAATTAAAAACAATTTATTTACTTCATTTACTCTGTTGGAGCAGAGTGCTTTCAACAATTTGTATACTTACTGAAAATTTAGTTGTTTGGGAACTTCCATACTGGTATAGTTCATTTTTAAACTTTGAAACACATAACAGACAGTTGGACAAGCACTACTGAAGTCTCTACCGAAAATAAAATCTATAGATTATTGTTCCGACTTTCATAACAAAAATGAATGAATATTAATGTTCGGGGTGTTTTTTCTTCAGACAAATTTCGGTTTTTCAACTAGTCATTTGCGACAAAATTTTTTATATTATTGAGAAGATATTGTTGTTCTGAGCTTTTATTTGAAAAGATATTTCACTGTGATTGTTTTTAGTAAAGTTATGGGGCTGTAAAGATTGCCATTTTGGCAGATTTGGGACAATTAACTCGCGATAGATTTTTCGCCATTAACGTGTAAGCGGAGATTTAGTCCGTCTTAGAAATTATTCCCATTTGGTTGATGCAAGCTTATTTGTCATAAGTGATTTTTTACTAGGAGCGAAATGTATTATTTTGTACTTTATATGGCGTGTGGGCCGATTTTTTAAACAAAAAAATCTAAAATTTATTACATTTAATTTCTTCAAATTATTACTGCTCCAAAGATCCTAAAAGACAGTCGGAATATTCAGGACTTCGCCGTGATACGAGCAGTCTTGTTTGCATTGTGCTAATACATAAAAAACTAAATCCGGTTTGAAAGTGAAAAACCAAAGCTGATATTCAGCACCAGTTTTCTTATGTTTTTGAAAAGCATTATCTGAGCTCCGTGTCAAAATTGTGTTGAAAGTAAATTTGTACTTTTGACTTGTAGAAAGATGACCATATTTGGTCAATTTGTTGCCACAAATATTGACCAGATAAATTTCAGGAAAAAAACCAACTTCTCTTCGGTTCTGATTATGCATTTGCCTAATAACCTTCCGCAAATTTATAAAAAGCACATCAGGTTTTCAAGAAGTAATTTATGTTTACCACTTGACGAAGAGTCGGCTTCGAATGTGTAATAGTTGTAATCCGCAGAAGATTCAGGCGAGGCTAGCTCACTGTCAGGAAATAAAACTAACGCATCCTTTATGGACATGCCTGCACGGCACAAACTAATATTAGTAAAAAGTGTTCTTAAAATTATCCAACTGAATATGAGAAAATAATTTGTAAAAACTTTACTTGGTTACCAAGGTCATTAAATTATTTATACTCGAGGAGCAAGGACTAATAAATGAACAGTGAT